GATGCTGTTCCACTGTGTGCATTTTTACCCAAATATCCTTTCACCACGCTGGCAGTATCATTGGGATCATTGTTATGCTGAAAGATGAAACCGCTGCGATGCTTTACAAACGGCATTAGATGGTCAATTAAAAGATGAAGGTACTTTCCTGTGTTCACAGGCTGAAATGCAACTCTTAACCATGAAACAGCCTCCGCCATCAAACCTCACAAGCTTCTAGTTAGAGGTTAGGATTGGGGTACTAAGGAGGACTGATGATAACTATATTGCGCTGCTGCGTATTTCTTATACGATTTAACATTTCTAAATTTATTTCCCCATTTTATGGTAACTTATTTTTCTCTCTTGCTTCTGGCTTTATCTATGTTTTTCCCATCTTCTTTGCACATCTTTTCCACGCAGGTGTAATTCTGGCATCCTTTCCATTGCTAATTGTATTCATTGGGTACCTGTGCGCTGCCGGACCCCCGAATTACCCCAAAGGTATGAATAACGTATCCATCTATTATAAATTGGAAAGCACACCTAGCAGGAATTCAATTTCAAATCTTTACTCTGTACTGTGGGAGAAAACTTTACCCCAGCAGCACGCATGCATCATATTTCTTCCACAGAGCTGCAGCAATAAACAGCACTGCGTTGAGAATCTGGAGAGTAGCTCGGGCTGTTTAACTTAATGGGATTTGGTGGCAATAGGAATGTCTGCTCAGCAGCTCTGACTGATGGTGTCATCTCAGACGAGCCAGTCAGTTAAGTCAGTGCTGGGCTAAAAATAAGTAACTATTCAAAACCAGTCATAAACTGCACAGCACAGCAGTATAGTGCAGTACTGAATCAGTTACATCACTTAAACTGCAGTTTGTTGTGTTGATTTCCTACTTTGGTCGTAATAAAACTGCACAAAGGCATCCTCGACCATTCATACCAAGTGTAATCCAGCGTGCTGAGAGAGGATCGAGTGAGATGGAGTTTGTGTCCTTTGCATCCAGGCTCAATAAAGAGAAACATGATGAAGGACAGCACAGTGTGTGTGTGTGTGTGTGTGTGTGTGTGTGTGTGTGTGTGTGTGTGTGTGTGTGTGTGTGTGTGTGTGTGTGTGTGTGTGTGTGTTTGGCAGAATAAGGGGATGATAGGGCATCGTGTTCAATTTCTGCTATCTTTCTCTTTATTATTTTTCAAGAGGTAGCCAGAATAAGGCTCCACTCCGACACCTATTGCAACCGGCAAACTGTCAACTGGTTCGTGTCGATACAGGGATTTCATATTCTACTTTCCACCCACACTTGCATGCTCACTCACAAACTAGCAGTCGGCCTTGTGTCCTTATGTGCAACTGCTTTTTCTTCTAACGTTCTCACTGTGTATCCCACGTTTTCTGATCCTCGTTGACTGCATCAGCTCAGCAGTTCTCCCCGCACAGCCAAAAGTATCGTGGCAACAAATCTTGTGGCCTAATCTCACCTGGGCTCATATTAGAGCGGTCGCCGCTTATGTTTTCCAATCCCATTACCAAACACTCGTATGATTAAATTACTGAAGCAAATCGGCCAAGGCGGCGAGGATGGGTGGGCCCTCATTTCGGTTGCATTGTGCACCTAACTCCAGGGAGCTGGATTACTAGACAAAATTTGTCAATATCAATGTGCTTTGGATGGTGGGCAGAGGAAAATAAAAACTGACAAACAGAACAATAATTTTGGCAAAAGTAGATATAGTGGCATTGATGCAATCTGCTGCAAGTCTGGCAACGGCGTGTGCAAAGCTCTGAGCAAAGCTGGGCAAAGCTGCACGGGCTATATCAAGCTGTGCATGTGAAATGATAGTGGAGAAGGGTTCAGACCTGGACGAACACAGACATGACATTATAGGGATAAGATGGAAAAAATAGTTGTTGTACAATGAAAGTCGCAGCTTAAAGCCTGACTTTCCAAACAAAGTTAGGTTGCCATGTAAATCCCAACGGGACACTGACCCCGCCTCACCTTCTAGGAGCAGCTTCAGGGAAAAAACTATCGATTCCTGTTTTAAGGCCAGCGCCTCAGTCAAGGCCAAATGACAAAATCATTTCTTATATATTTTCCTTATTGATTACTCTGTGGCTGTGAAGCTGATCTAATCAATATTTTTATATTTAAAATTGATCAAATAACAATGTGTGATGCCAGACGGCTCACTTGCAGTGTCAAAACTACAGCATTGGCCACCAAACTGTTTCCCTCGGCTCCAACAAGAAGAGCACAAAGTAAAAGGAAAATGAACACAAACTGACACAAAACTCAAAACTAACAGGAAGAGAGAGAAGAAGCACAGAAAGCAGAGATTTGTATAATAGCTGCACAAAAGTGGCTCCAAATGGAAGAAAAGATCAAATAAGATTAAAAATAAATACAAACTGGGGCAAAATAAGTAACAGAAACGTAAACATATCACAAAATGAACTGGGAAAAGAAAGAAAAGAAGTGAAACAAATTAACAAGAACTCGTGTGGCATCCTTTGATTTCAGTCTGTCACATCCTGCCTCGCTCGTCAAGTCGGGCTTGAAGTTTCACAAAAGGACATCACTAATCAATGGGTGGCATCACGGTGGCTACATCCATCCTCTACATGCAGACCTGGCTGAACCCATCGTAAACACTAAACTGAACATCTACCTAAAGAGAAATGCAAGTCACACACAAACAAACCAAAGGAGCAACAGCAAGACGAAGGACATGGAGCACAGAAATGTAAAAAAAAAAGGTGCAAACGGACTACAGGAAGGAAATTTAGATCTTATTCCGAGACACAAAAATTCCATCCTGAGGAGCAAAACAACTAAACGGAACGCAGAGATTAATTTCTACTGTATCTCTAATGTGAAATGACACCCAAAAATGTCATGATCCTGGGCCATGTTGGCCGAGCAGTCTTAGTTTTCATGTATTTTTGTATTTTGTTCTGTATTTAGGCCGCGGTTCCTGGGTTGCTCTGTTAAGTTGTTCCTTATTTGATTTGCCCTTGTGACCTTTACCCCCTGTGTGCCCCTCTGTGCATCTGTGAGCCCCCGTCTCCCCTCCTTGTGTTTTGTTCAATGTTTTCCCCAGCCCGTTACGTTTGTGCTCTCTCTCTCTCCTCCTGTCTGAAGCTCTGTGTACTTCCTGTTTTACTTTGACAGTCTGCCGTCAGTAGCTATGCGTCATGTTGTGTTACCAGTGTTGGGGAGTAACGGAATACATGTACCGCCGTTACTTATTTAAAATACAAAATTGAGTAACTGTATTCCGTTACAGTTACCGTTTAAAAAGGTGGTATTCAGAATACAGTTACTTTGTTGAAATAAATGGATTACACTGCGGTACTTTCCTGTTTCATTTTGTCGCGGGTCAGGACTGTTTGGGTTTTGTTTGACAGCTACGATCTGTTGTTCCAGGCGGCAGCGTTACGGTTGCCATGGTTACAGGGCGACGCTCTCTGCGACTGTGTGTTTCCTGGGTGAGAGAGCGCCTTTTCGTTGTTGTTGTTGTTGTGCTAAGCTAACAGGCAGAATGCTACAAGCATAGCTCTAAAGAATGTAGCATCATGGGCAGTGTAGTCCGTGCTGCAGGGAGAATGGACTGCCATACTCGTTATGGGTCTGTGAGCGCGAGGAGGGAGAAAAAGGGGAGTGGAAAAGTACGAGCTGTCATCGAGCAAAAACGGGAGCTGGAAGCATGTAAATATAATAATAACCACTGCAGCCAAGAAGAGTGCCTGACGAGCCCAGTTGTAAGTAAGCTATTAAGACTCGACTGTACACTGTGTTCGTGTTTTCCTCCGAAAACAACAAGTTCTGTTAGAGCAGTCTTTCAACGTCTCTCTCTGTCTCTCGCAAGAAAAGTTGACCCACACAACAAAGTAAAGCTATTTTTCGGCTACGAGCCGACAGGGACCCCGCCGTATTAGTCAGAGGTCCCTTTACTACAGTTCAGAGTCGCGGACCTTCAGTAATAGTAATAAATCACACAGCAATAGTACATTCACGTTGTTGTAAAAAGCACGATAATATATTAAGTAATCCAAAGTATTCAGAATACGTTACTCTCATTGAGTAACGTAACGGAATACGTTACAGAATACATTTTGGGGCATGTATTCTGTAATGGAATACATTTTAACTCATTCACTGCCAGCCATTTTCAAATCAGGTAACTCCCCACTGCCAGGGTTTTTGAGCATTTTTACTCATTGTTGAAGAGCCACAGAAAACTGTGTGTTATGATCATATAAACGCTGAACCTACCAAAATGAAGAACAGACTCTCTTCTTTCATCCAAAAAAAAAGCTTGTTTCTACCATTTTCCATTCTTTAGTAATCAGCTGTAGAAGAGAGGTGGGTTCCACCAAAAATGCCTGTTTTGACCAAAAAAAGGGAGAAAACGAGCTTTTCGTGAAAAATACATTTCAAGCAGAAAAGTGCCTTTGACACTAATATTTCTTGCTTTGTGACACCTCTAACATATAAAATAGTTTTTCACTTCTATAAAACAGAAATGACACTGAGAAAGGTTTTGTTTTATCAAAACAATTTATTTACAAATATATGGAAAAATAAAATGTACATAGTGAAACATTTATTCACAATGAATAATTCACTTTTGTGTGGTAATCATTATAACACTTTCCGGGATGCAAGGGCACACAACAAGACTTGCACCACATTTTTGTCTCACTGCACAATCCCTTACGTGCGCAAACCCCGCACCTCCTTGCAGGTCTACTTTTACTGCTGGTGGGCTTCAGTTTTTCAAGTTGCCCGAGGTTGTATTCTAGCCCCTCCCATTGAAAAACGTAATTGACGTCTATAGACGTCAATGGCAGTGAATGAGTTAAAAGTAACCTTCCCAACACTGTGTGTTACTCCTGCCTGTCTCGTTACGAGTATCTGTGTCAGCTGTGTTCCCTGTGTGCTCCCACTTCCCTCGTTAACCCTCTGTGCATTTAGGTCCACGTCTCCCTCATCCTGTGTGTGAGTCTCCCTGTGGTTTCTGGTGAGCGGTACGTTTAGTTTTTTATAACTTGTTATCTGTTTTTCCAGCAATAAAGCTGTGCTTTTTGAGTTTATCCCCCGTGTCCCCGTGAGTTTGCGTTTGGGTCCGGGTCCGTTTCCTGCCTGCCACACAGCCGAATCATGACACAAAAAGGTGTAAAATACTCAGAAATAATCCAGTTAGTAAAAAGGAGAGAAACACTGTAAAGAGAACTCCACTAAATTGAAGAGTTTCATCCCCGCATCCATCCATTTTCTTAACTGTTTATGCAGTGGATGGGCTGGAACCTGTCCCAGCTGTCCTGAAGCAAAAGGCGACACACCCTCATCAGATCATCGGGTCATCACAAGGTTGATTTTCCAAAGGGTGGCTGGCCTCTCCCTTAGAGATGAGGTGAGGAGTTCGGCCATCCAGGAGGGGCTCAGAGATGGATGAGTGGGTGGGTAAGTTTACTTGAACTAAACTGGCAGAACAGGTTAAGAACATCGGGGTGAGACTGTGATGTTATAAAACTTACAACACATTTCTGTGCCCAATCTGAGGTTTCTACAAGCCTACTGCAGTGGCTTCACTAGTTCAATAGAATGAGTCAAATTTTAAACTATAACTATATATATGACAGAGTGCATCACTGTTAGTGAGATGGGTGAGTGTGCTCAGTGGCGTCTGAACCAGCATGGAGCCCTTACGCTCAGAAAAAAGCTCTTTGTAAGCCTGTTCTCAGATCTGAAGAATCAAGTTTGTCAGTAGTGAATCTTCAAAATCAACCAATCCCAAATCTGCGGGGGCTGTGAACGATGTTTAAAGCTGTTACCGACACGCACATAACCTTTTCCTTTTTACAGAGCACCTGTGTATTCTGCTGAGTCTGTGTGAGGGTCAGGAATCTTTTTTGGAGCTGTAGCTTTGAGTGTAGGTGAGCAAGTCCAAATGCTGGGCTTCCTATTGATTTTTTTTTAGAACCATTTTTGCTCTAAAAGGAATTCACTGTAAAAGAAATGATTAGGACTCACCAAGTTCAGTCAGTTTCATTAATGTAGGCCACAATGCAAGGCACGAGGGGCTTTAGAATCTGCACAGCACACCGTGTGCCTTGAAACAGGTGAGAAGAATATTCAAATTAAACCATTTAATAGCAGAGCAGGACGTGGTGTGAATATGTCTATGGCTACTCTATTCTTTTAACAGCTACAATAAACATATAGATAAAAAGTAATTTTGAGTATTTATCCATTTTTCTTCCACTAATGCAAACCAGAGGTGAGCTCATCCCAACTGACAAGGGGCAGGTTACACCCCGGACAAGTCGGCAGTCCATCACAGTGCCGACCAACGGTGCATTTTCCAGAAGAGACACCTGAGAAATTGGGACAATAGAGCGCAACCATTTTTCTCATAACATGTTGCAGGCACAATTAAGTGGGGACATAAATCATGTACTTTTGAATCATGACGCTTCATTGTTCTTTTTGGTCCATTACTACACTGCTCCCGTCCTTTCATTATTTTAAGTTTGTGAGTGAATAGGATGCTGTGACTGATGTGTTTTGAAGAAGATCTTTTTTTGGTTCCTACCATCTCCCGAGGGAAGTGTTTGGCTCTTTAGCTGCTCAATGCTTCACCACATTCACCAGCTAGTTTCTGACCGTGTCTGTCTGCTGTTTCATGCTGAGCAGGTACAGTAATGAGGGTTCATGGAAGTTTTCTGTTGCCTGCAGCAGTCAAAAACAATGCTATTAGAGTGAATGGCAGTAAACCAAAAGAGTGAAGTTACAGACCAGACACCTAAACGGCGAGCCAATAATCTCTAGCCAGAGGGGAGTCTGAGATTTTGGTGATACATCTTTGCAGATTCATGCAAGTGATACCTTGTTTTTGCACTGTCAGTGATAGATCGTTACTATAAAAGTATTAAATATATCTTCTTTAAAGATCCTAGCAAACTGTTCGGGTGGTTTTTAATTCATTATTTCTTAAATAATGGAGGAAATCTGATGGAATTTCTAAGTTCAGAGTTGAAGACAGATGTAAATGGAACTGTTTAAAATGAGAGAGGTGAGGCCGGGTAATGCGTTCGGGAGCTTACCACTCTGTAACTGTTCCCACTCTTCATCATTGTGCCTTCGGCTGAAACAGGGGTAAATGGATGAAATTGCAATTCAGACAGCAGTGGGTGCCCAATCAATTGCTTTTCAGATGCTTGTGTTACTGCCCAGGCATTTTAAACACTTGTCTGCGCCTCTGAGCTTTTTTCTTATGCAAGATGCTTCCACCAGACCAGCTCATCCTTTCAAATGATGCATTGATGTTGTCAAGCCACCCATATGCTAACCAACTAAGTGGTAAACCAGGGATGTATATTCTTGCATTTAAAGTTAAAGGCAGCAGAGACTTTACAGTTGTATTCTGGAGAGAACAAATGGTGATAATTTGTAGGACGCTGGGGAAATACAGACAGAGGATCGAGCTATTGTCTGTCTTTCTATCATCTCAGAGTAATCAAGTTATACATCGCATTTGATCCTCTGTATCTGAGTATGTGCTCAATGCACCAAAAGCCTTACAAGACTTCATTGTGAAACAAAGTCCCCAGTCACTTCCTTCAACTAAATGATGACAAAGCAGAAGTTATTTCGTTTGGCTCCATTAAGATTGTAACAAGACACTTGGTCTTTATCCACATATGTTTAAATTGTAGTTAAAAATCTTGATGGTAAATGGTCTGTATTTGTATAGCGCTTTTACTAGTCCCCCCTAGGGACCCCAAAGCGCTTTACACACCCAGTCATCCACTCTCACATTCACACACTGGTGGAGGCTACAGTTGTAGCCACGGCTGCCCTGGGGCAGACTGACAGAAGCCAGGCTGCCATATCGCGCCATCAGCCCTTCTGGCCAACACCAGTAGGCGGTGGGTGAAGTGTCTTGCCCAAGGACACAACGACCGAGACTGAACGAGCCGGGGCTCGAACCGGCAACCTTCCGATTACAAGGCGAACTCCCAACTCTTGAGCCACGATCGCCCCATTAACTATCAAATCAGTAATCCTTTAAAGGGCGGGATTTAGCATTGTTACATTAACGATGGTTTTGTCAACTTGAAAACAGTTTCCCTGCTTTTTATCAGCTTTTGGCTCCCTGCATGTTCAGGCTGTTCAACTCCACTGTCTCTGATTTGCAGATGGCTTAAAATGCAGATCCTACACCTCGCGTACAAAGGAAAAGACAGCCCATCGCTCTTGCCTTAACTGAGCTGTGCTGACGACCTGTGAAATACCAAACTGTATCATGTGTTTTTAAAGCCCTCCGTGGATCAACTTCACGATATGTCACAGATCTCATAACTCCATAGTTTGCCTGCAGGTAACAACTTCTTTTTGTCCTCCTGTCTCAGGCTTTGTCTGCTCTTCCTCACAGTAAATGGACTGACTCTTATGTAGCCTTTCTTTAGTCTACCTGAGCACTCGCAGGGCTAGATACAACATGCCTCATTCACACAAGCACATTTCTCAGCTTTTTCTGTCCAAGTGCTTTCTATCTAACATTCACTCGCATCACATTCATACTCCGGCTGATGCATCAGAGAGCAACATGGGCTTAGTATCTTACACAAGGATGTTTGGCATGCAGACTGGAGCAGCCAGGGATCGAACCACTAACCTTCCGATTAGTAGTAGATGACCTGCTCCACATCCTGAGTATTATCATTGTAATTATTTGGCTTGTGTTTCTTTTGTTTTGGAGACTTGTGATTTTAAGCTGTGCTCTAACTATAAAGCACTTTGCTTCATCTCCTGGAGTGACTTGACTAAAGCTCAGTCATAATGGAGAGGGAGCTCCTCTAAGAATTTACACATGTAAGTGTAAGAGACATTTTAGCTAATCTCAGGTTGGATAATCTAAGAGTTAGTCTCTGTTAAGGTTAACATGGTTGCTATAATGCTGGCAGCCTTCTGCCTCAGAGATTATGCAATACACTACACTGAAAGCCAGAAGCTGGATTTGTTTTGTGCAGACGGCTCTCATAAAATTGTGTGGCAGGGGCATGCTGTGAATATGGCACCAAGCATGACAGGAGAAGAAAACTGCTCGTGATTGAACATTTCATTAGGTCAGACGGAAAGAAACAGGAGAAAGAAGTTATTTTGGGTGTGTGTGTGTGTGTGTGTGTGTGTGTGTGTGTGTGTGTGTGTGTGTGTGTGTGTGTGTTGCAAACTGATCTTATAATTTTTACTCTTTTTTTTCTGGTTTCTAAAAGTTCCTAAACTAAAAATAAATTTACCTTGACAGAAATTAAAATCACAGGTAGTTTAACACTTCTGGCTGATATCGATCTGTTCATTGCCGTTACTGAATGCTTTAATTAAAATAATTATATAATCCCCTTTTCAAAAAATGCTAGCCTATTTTATGTTTTGAATAAAAATGTTGCTTCACTCACGTGTTGTGCGGTTTCCCAGCCAGTTCATTCTGAGACCGCAGCATCATCGCCTGCGACTTCCACATCGTCGCCTGCAGCGTCTGGTCCCGCCGCTGTCTGGTCCCACCGCCGCTACATTGTCATCAGATCCTGTTCCACCTCGCCTCTGCCGGCTGCTTTCCAGGCCTCTAGTTGGCCGTCGAGGCTGGTCTCCTGAGAAAGTTCGTCGCCGCCGCTGGCTTCGGGGTCGGCCTCCGGACCTGCTCTGTTGCCGCTGCCGCCTTCCGCGTGGCCGGCCTCCTGATTTGTTTTGCCTGTGTCACCGCCACCGTTGCTATCCGCACGGCCGCCCCCTGAACTGTTTTGGCCCTTGTGTTGTTGACCTCCGGGTCGACCCCCTGAACTTTTCATGGACTCCTGTTGATCTAGTTTGGTTTTTAATCTGTTTTCCTGGGTTCTTGAACTTTGTGCTCCTTGTTTTTTGGTTGCTTCTGTTTGTTTTCATGGTTTGGTTTCTGTTTTTGTGCCAGCAATAAAGCTGAGGTTTTCAGTTACATTTCCATCTCAGAGTCCTGCATTTGGATCCACATCTCCACCTGCCCGCACACACAGAGCCCTGACTAATTCAATATCATTAGAATCATTTAAACCCTATATTTATCTGAAGGGTACTACAAAGATAATATTTTAAATGTGTAAATTAACAAACACTGTGATAGGACAAATGTAACTCTTGAATTTCTAAGCTTTTTGCCACATTGTGATCAGTGCGTCTGACATGTTTGCTGTTTTATTACTAAGTGTTGATACTAATTAACCTCAGTGATTAACTTTTATTATTTGTATTATTTACGCTAAATTAATTAATTAAAAATGAGCTTTTGAAAAATGAAACTTTTTTGATATGTTTGTGCTTCTTTTAGTTTGTTTTTTCTAAAAAAGAAAAGAGTCAGATGGACACTGAGACGTGATTCATGCTTAGTGCTCGCATCACTGTACTTACAAGTATCTACGTGCACACGCGTGCAGCTTGTGTTTCTGCATGTGTGACTGTGTTTATGTTTGCACATGTTTGTTTGCACATGCAAAAGCGTACAGGCTGCATCTGGCTGTCTACGTTTCACATTTCCATTCAGGCTGAGTGTAAGCAGGCTGGCTCCTAATGAGCCGATTACAGGGAGCAACATATGGTGTGTTCTGTATGGTTCTCCTGGCTCAGCCATTAGTGTTGATGAGAGCTGAGAGAGATGTGGAAATTGGGCGGGTCAGCTTAGTGAGAAGATTCAAATATGCGTCTGCATAGATGCACAAAGACGTTTCACAATGACACGATCTCTCTTGATGGAATGAACAAAGAAAAGAGATCTAGAAAGGTCCGCAGGGCTTTGAAACTTTTTCCATTTCATGTCATTATAAAATTCTAACAAGTCCACTTCAGATGGTGGCCAAATGCGCCACAACATTTAAAGAAACTGTTTTTAATTGATGAGAAAAAGCTTCTGGCAGATCAGACCGATGCATATTTAGGATGGAATAAAAGTACAAAAACACTCCAACTGAAAGACCCTGCTCATTAAGATTGACTCTTTCATACTGTTCTATAGAATAGATGCCTGTAACTGCATAATTAAAAAGTATGTCTGCTGTTGTATCAAGTTATCAAAGAAAAGCACCCTTTAGTTACTGGCCCCTGTTAACCAATCACACACTAAAATTATTTGTTAGTCTGTGAAACTTGCTTTGCTTTTCTGATGGTTAATTTACAATATTTTTATTAATACAAAAACAACAAACCCAATCCAAAAAAACAAAATTATGAAACATTGTGAAACATATAAATAAAAACAGAGTACATTTATGTGCAAATCTCATAAACCCATATTTTATTCACAATAGAATTCAAATAGTCCAGCAGCTGGTGCCTTCAGTTCCCAGACTTTTATAGACTGCTGTAAACAAAGAGGGATGCTACACAGTGGGACGCATGGCGCTAACACAACTGCTTTGAAATGTATTGCTGCCATTCAAGTTCATACATTTCCTCAGCTTAAACTGAGTTTGTTTTCTATTGTGAATTAAACATTTTTGCATTTTATTTTATTTACATGTTATACAGCATTGCAACTTTTTTTCAGAGTTGGTGTTGTACATCAGGTTCATCATGTGACAAAACCTCAGAGATCACTATGACACAGCACCTGCGGAGCATTTGTCATGAAATGCAGGATTTGGCAGATGGAATTCAAAACTTTAGCTTTATCAGCAGGGACAAAACGGTAAAAGGAAAAAAAAAAAAAAAAGGAAGTTGTGCAGGAACAATCTGCAGGTAGACTAGACTGACAGAGACCTCACCATGCGGTAGATCCATGAGGGAGATACGGCAGAGTGGACACACCTGGGAATCTAACTAACGAGACAGAAGAAGCAAAACTAAACCTGACACACAAAAGATGAGGGACTATCAAAATAAAACAGGAAGTAACAAACATGGACACCTGACTGATTTCAGGGGGACATAAAAGGATGAAACACTGAGAGACGACTACAGCAACAGGAAGGGCAACAACCTTACCATATCACCCAAAAACTGTGTGAAAGCGACCGGATCAGAAACAAACTGCAGCATAAACAACAGGAAGAAGTCAGGCCTCCAAACTGCCCTACTACAGCCAATCACACGGTGCCCAAGATTTACAGTAAATTAAATCCATAAACCATTTTTTAAATTCTGAATCTGGATGTACCAAGCGTGAACATAACATCTCCCTTGAGCACCCAGTAAAACTTTGAAATATCTGAACTTTAATAATAAAATAATCCAAAATGAGAAGCCTTTTTATTAGTGCATAATTCAGGCTCATTGATTATTTATCGAAGTGACTGGGGACTGACTGCAGTCTGAAAGGTTATATAGCAAAAGCCTCCTGAAACATAATAAGCCAAAGTAGGAGGGACCATAAAGGGTTTTGATTTAAATGAAACCACGACGGGTTTGAGCTGGATTTTCAAAAGAAGGGACTCTCTGTGTTTCTGTCGTGTCACCTTAGTGACAGTTCACACTCCTTTGTTCTTTCTGTGCTTTCTCCCATTACTAATCTTTTTTGTATTTCACCTCTTAAGTCTGTCTCTCTCTGCCTCTCAGCATCTGTCTTCCTTTAAATCATTTTTACTGCTCTGCCACCCCCATTATCCTATTTTGTCTGTGTCATTTGTATGAGAAGTGGAGCTCAGATTAATGGTCGTGTCTTGATGAATTTGTGGTAAAAAATTTAGATGTAAAAGTGAACTTGCAAAAGTTGCATAGCTTCCTGATTTGATTTAAAAGTGTTTCATTTTGATCATCTTATATTTCTTTATAATTTTCAAACGCTTTACAATTTTCACAAGCTGTGAATTAATTATAGGAGCAGAAAACCTGAACAGAGAAGAGAGACAGCTCCGATACTATATCTCTATCAATTTTAGGGGAGTATATATTTCATTTGCTGTCATTTATTTTGTTATTTGTTCATATATGTGTTCACTGAAAAAGTTATGCTTGTTCATTTAACTGAAGTTAAATTATTGGAAATGTCTCATCTCACCTCATCTGAATGTGACAGAAATATACTGAGGAAACAATTTCCATACATTTTACTTTGAAAACAGTACTGATGAATAAACATAGACCCAGAACTCATAGACACAGCAATGTAGGTCCTTATCTCGACTGTATCCCACTCCACTGAAATGAAAACATGCCATCCACACAGCAGGGATTCAGATTAAGGATCACTGGCAGTTCTCCCATAATGCATCACGTGAAACAAAAGACACAAAAAGCCCTCAGTCAGCTCCGTCCCACAGAACACCCGTCAGCTGCCTTTGACCCAACATGATTTTGATCATATTTGTCCCAGCGGTGTCGCTCTTCTGTAAACACAACAACCCCCAGTATAAAAAAGTATGAGTGGTGACAGTGGATACGATACATCCAGATACCAGACTGTGCAAGTCTCGTTCCTGTTGTGTAGAAAATTAATTATCTTAGAAGTTGTGAATTTATTTTCCATTAATACTTAATAACTATTCAATCACATGTTTTATATTTTTACAACAGAACGTGGTTAACACTGCTCCCCTATATCAGATCAAAGCTGCCTGGCTCAATGCGAGAGAACCTACGGTTACGTTGTAACCTTGGTTCTCTTAGTGAGAGACTATCTCTCCACCGTGAGGCCACTCGGAGACGCGTTCCGATCAAACGATCACCGGTGTCACATCTGCACAGCTGTTTTATACGTAAGCTGTGGGGCGTAGCCGGGCGTGCTGGAGTGTCTTAAAGAAATATCCACACGCCACGACCAAGGGGGTGGTACCCCGTACATATGGAATATGTAACCGTGTGGAGAGATAGTCTCGATATGCTAGAGAACCTCCTACCATCAACAGTACAGATACTGTCGTGTTCATAGGTGTTTGAAAAGTGATACAATTTTGGTAATTTTGCCTCTCTCTGCATGACTACTGTGGATTTTAATCAGTGTTTTGAAGTGATTCATGATTGAAGTGTCGATTTCAGCTTTGATTTGATGGGCTTAACAAGTAATGTATGAACTGGAATCACAGCCATTTTTGCACTTTTTAGTTTTCCATATTCAAAGTTTAAAAGTAATTGGACAAATCGTTGAGAAGCAGTTTCATGGCCTGGCTGATGCCTGCTCCCTGGTTCTTCTGTGACAAATTCAACTGATAAAAGGTGGAGTTTGTTTGTAGGACTTGCATTTGATAGCTTTTCAGTGGAATGGAATCAATATGAGGTCCAAAGAGGAAAAGTGTTAAAATGTAGCAGCTTGTTGATTTAGCCAAAGAACAATTGCAGTGACCAGCTCACCAACCAAAGGGCCTGAAAGACGACAGAAGACTTCTTCTTTCTTTTCTCTTCTTTTTGTCAGGAATCAAGTACAAAAACATTCAAATAATGAAAAGATGCACTGTGCAAGATTTAGCTTTTTTCTTCTTTTTCCAGCTAAAATTATTTCAAAACCACAGACAGTATCTAAATCCAATATATAATTTACATATAATATAATTTATAAATATCAAATATATCTCAATTATATGTAAATTCTTTCACTGGTGGAGAAAAGCTTGTTCACATTATTGAGCCAAGTAAAGAAGACTACATGATGCAGGTGTATTACTCTCTACGATGAAGACACATTTTCATCAGTGGAACTGTGGAGGGTGCAAACCGCTGGTTACACTCAGGAATAGGAAAGATTGATTAGACTTTCACAGAACATTTAAAAATGCACAAATCTGAAAAGAAAATCTTTGGAAAGATGAAACAAAGATGAACTCGTGCCAGAACGATGGGAAGAGAAAAGTAGACTGAATAAGAGAAACAGCTCATGAGCCAAAGCACATCACATTATCCGTCTAACATGGTCACGTACAGCTGCCAGTTGAACAGGATCACTTGTGTTTACCGATGATGCT